CAGCAAAAACGTATAAAAAATATAATGTACATGAATCATATAGAAATAAATCTAAATTGGCTCGATTGACAAATAATGCAAAAAGAAACCGTAAGCTTATTTTTTCTTTTTAATTTAATTAGTTACATAATTTAATTTAATAATTCATATATTTATTTAGAAAAACGCAAAAATAAAGGCAAAGAACCTGCCTCAAGGTCTACACAAAAAAAAATGCAAAAACTAAGCATCAAATGAAAAAAATGAAGATTCTATATCAACTTTAACCATGGTTCCTACGTCGCAAGAACAAGACAATTATATCGAATGGGAAAACAAAAAACTTGAATTGCGGCAAAAAAACTTGAAAATTCTTAAGGAAGAACTTTTATTGCATGAAAAACTTAATAGTTTAAAACAATGATAATGACTTCGTTTAATAATAGTAATAATTGCTTTTATTTCTTTATTTTTTTTTTAAAAAAAAAAATTGGTGGTATAAATATGAAATACCATAATAAAATTTAATGCATTTTTAAATAAATATTTCTACCGCTTCAAAAAAAAATGTAGCATTGATAATATTGTATCATTATTGTACCATACGGTATACATATATATTGTACGGTTAAATAAATATACAGTATGTTAAGAAAATCTTTGGACAATATCACGTGTAAATTTTTGATCAGCATAACTTTTTTATTTTTGGTTAGTATTACATTAAACAAAATAGTATTTATTGATTATCAGACTGATCACTTTTTTTTTAGAATGCGTTTAAGGTTTTTGCCTTTTTTTTTTTGAATAATCAATTAAAATGGAAACCCGTCAAGATGTGCATGCAAAGTCTGTTCAACAACTTTGGGACAAAGGAATATGAAGTGCAAGTGAAATCTACAAGCGAACTGGTGTACCAAGGTCCACTATCTATTATAACATTTCTAAACTAAAAAAAAAGAAAATGTAGAGCATCGTAAGCGCAGTGGTCGCCCCCAAAAAATCTCTCTGCAAGTCTCCCAGTTCCTAGTCCAGCAAATAAAAAAGGACCCCTCAATATCTTTGAGGTCTTTGTCCGTAAGTCTGCTCAAAATAGAGGCCCAGGTCTCCCACGTAGCTATCCTGAACTATTTGACCCAGCTTGGGTATAAAAAAGATCGAGCTTATGCGACACCAATGCTTACAGAAAAGCATATCCAGCAGCGT